AGTTTCTTCATACAGACCAATCAGCCTGTTTCCCATTACATCCAAGATTTTTGAAAGATTACTGTGGCAAGATATGTTATCGAAATCAAATATCATCCCTTACCATCAATTTGGTTTCCAAAAACATTACCCTACGGTACAGCAGTGTCATAGGATTGTAAATTTAATCAACAACACATTCGAATCCAAACAGTATTGCTCTGCTGTCTTTCTTGATGTAAGTCAGGCGTTTGATAAAGTTTGGCATAAGGGTCTTTTATCTAAAATCAGATCTTTTCTCCCGTCTGGCTACTATGCAATCCTGAAATTATACCTTGACTCTAGAATGTTTAAAGTTCGTGTCAATGCTGAAATGTATGCATTTTTTCCAATTAAAGCGGATGTTCCGCAAGGAAGTGTACTGGGTCCTTTCTTATATTTGATATATACCAGCGATTTTCCTACATTTCCAGATGCCAATACTGCCACGTTCGCTGACGAAATTGCGGTTTTATCTACAGATATCTGCCCCACATCTGCTTCAACCAAATTGCAATTACATCTAAATAATATCGAAGAATGGACCAAAAGATGGCGCAATAAGATAAATGAGACCAAATTCCACCATATTTATTTCCACTCAACAAACTCACATGCCTTGAAGTCAATTTCAACGGACATATAATTACCACGAAAACTAGTGTTAAGTATTTGGGAAATCATTTGGACCAAAAATTAACTTGGAAATCTCACATTTTAGCCAAAATTAAACATATGAAGCAAACAACTAAAGACCTGTACTGGCTCTTAGGGCGCAAATCAAAACTATCACTTGTAAACAAAATCTTAGTTTACAAAATTATAATTAACCCTATTTGGACTTATGGCATTGAAATTTGGGGTTGTGCTAGTAAGTCCAATACAGTTCTTAAACAACGTGCCCAATCAATGATTTTGAGACAAATCGCTGATGCCGCCTGGTTCATCAGCAATCAAACTATCCACAATGATTTTAACATTCCATATATTGTGAATGTAATTAGCAGCAATAGCCTTCACCATCACTTAAAACTGGAAACACACTCAAACCACATGGTTTCAGCACTACTCGAGATCCCTAATTCTAGAATTAACTACTGATTAGTTAACTGATCAATGGAACAGTTTTCTTTTCTTTATTATATCTATTTTTTTTTCTTTTTATAATTTTTATGATTATTATTTCTATTTATTTGTTATTATTATTATAGTTAGTTATTTATTATTATCATTATTATTATTATTATTATTATTATTATTTGTTTTTCCTTTACTTTACATTATTGATTTGTTTAAATTATGTTCTCACTGTAGCTCATAGAATTACTTCTTTTATTCTGATTGTTACATATAAATTTAAAAAAAAAACTACCATGTCGTTGTGATTCCTTCCAATTTGTTTTTCCGCTTCTATAACATCGCAATTGCTATTAATTTCTTTTTCAATTTTCATATCATTTTTATTCCTATTAGTTTATTTTGAAACTGCTATATTGTTAGATCCACTACTTAATTCTTCTTCTATAACCATATCATTCCAATTTTGCTGTGGTTTATTATTATTATTACTTGAGTTATTTTTATTCATATTTTTTGTTTCCTTTGGATGATCTTTTATTCTCAGTACCATATTTTTATTTACTTCGTCATTTAAGTTATTTCTTTTCGGAATCATTTTTGATCTATTTCACTTATCCATTTTTTGTATTCTCTTCTTGTTTCTAAATTGTTATTACCACATTTTATATAAGTATTTTTAACACTATTTACCGTATTTGAATTAACTGTTTTACCATCATTATTTTCACTCATTAAATTACTATTACTATGCTCACTTCCATCATCACTGTCATATTCCATACAATCACTATTATTATTTATGTTCGCGCCAGAATCTTGTTAGATGTCGGCAGACAATATTTGTCAGAGTCGGAAAATACTTAGTCTCTGGTAATACCGAAAAGAAGAAGATTTTGGATATATTTGCTAATCTTGCGGGTGAACGGGGTTTGGCGCTGGCTTGTCACGTACGCCATTTTCACTTGTTTTCCGTATGAGTTTTTGTTGAATTTTTCGCGTATTCGATGTTATTTGTGTGAATAAATACGTTATTAGTCGCAGCCAGTGTTTCTTATTATGCTTCTATAGTAAATTCTTACCTCAGTATCCATTCCGTATAGCGAACTGAGAATTCCAGACACCAAGCCACCATCCGACTGGGCCGCCGACCAAGCAGAGAACAACGTGTATTTTTCCTTAATATATTCAGTTATACTAATAAATTCAATTAGTTATTTTGAAGGGGTCTAACCAACCCCCATCCGTAACATTGGTCCTTCGACGCCGGATCCTAATTTTGATTAGGATTTATTTAATATATTAAGGAAATATTAATCCAAGATGGCATCTAAACTTGACGTTGGTGCAGAGATCGATCGACTAATAGCTAAGAGAGAAATGTATTTTTTAAGCATACAAGAAACTTACGATGCATGCACCTTTGCGATAAAATTAATATATTGAGACAGTCAGAAAATCCTAGCTTTATTGCGGAATATACCCTCGCGAGAGCGTTGGAAATGCTTTATGCAAAAATAAAGCATGCCGAAACAATTTTAGATGATCAAAACGATTTATTACAAATTTCCAGCATTTTATTTAATTCATGCATTGCTTCAAACGCAGATCTTTTTGAAAAAAAAGATAAGATTACACAATTAGAAGACATCCCACATTCTTCACGTTCTTACGACAATGATATGGTTACAAGTATTGATTCTTTGGTAAATACAAAAGCCATTTTCCGGGATTTGCAAACTGCAGTTTCTTGTGGAACTTGTGAACTGAAGAAAAAGGAATCTATGCATCCTAGTATTCGTGAGCTTAATCCAAATCCTGATATCCTATATAAACATGTCCTTAGCAATTTTAAAAACAAAAATTTATCAAAGAAATTATGATTGAAATGGAATACTTTGCCGGATAATTATCTTTCTGGTACAAATCATATGTGGAGAAAGTGGACCAAACGTCATCTCCTTTCAGCAATTGCGCGTCTTTACGATTCTTCGAGATTTGTTACTCCTATTGTTGTTAAGATAAAAATCTTAATAAAGAAAATTTCGAAATTAAAGATTGATTGGGATGAAGCGCTACCATCATTTATTATGCCTTTGTGGTTAGCCGTATTTGCCGAATCAAAGTTGAATAACTATAACATACCACATTATCTCAGAACTTCAGAAAATGTTCAGTACTTGGTTTTACGAATAGCTCCGAACAAGCATGCGGAGCTGTAATTTACGATGATGTTAATGATTCAATGATAGTCCGACAATGGTTGGTAGAACTAATCACTTGTTGGAAAACTTTTTTAGCCAACAAAATATCAAAAATTCACGACCTCTTTCATAATACACAATGGTTCCATATTCCTACTAATCAAAAGGCAGCCATTAGTGTTTCCCAAGATCGACTTCCTAAACTATATGCTAGATATAAGAATTGGTTATTTGTGTCGGATTTTTGGAACGACTCTATATCTACTCGGTCCTCTGGGAGGATTGAAAGAAAAAAGAAAACTTTCATTCTTTATTTCTTTATTACATTCCAAAGTGTTTAAAAGACATTTGAATGAATTATTATTTTTACGTATTATTGGATGGAGCTTAATGATTGTGGTCTGATGGAGCTCCAGACTTAAATCTTAGCTGCGTGGTGATTCAGGATCCTCAACTTCCTACACCTTTATTGACTTTGTCGGTTTTGCCTGCTCCATTGGATGCAAGGAAGAGTAGAAGTTTTCTAGGTGCCGATGGAGTGATTTGAGTGGCCATTATCCAAAGAATTATGGGATTATAAAAGGTAGCCCTTTTAGACTGGGGAATATGTTTGCGCCAGAATCTTGTTAGATGTCGCCAGACGATATTTGTCAGAGTCGAACAATACTTAGTCTCTGGTGATACCAAAAAGAAGAAGATTTTGGACATAATGGCTAATCTTGCGGCTGAATAGGGTCTCGCGCTCGCTTGTCACGTACGCCATTTTCACTTGTTTTCCGTATGAGTTTTTGTTGAATTTTCCGAGTATTCGATGTTATTTGTTTAAATAAATACGTTATTAATCGCAGCCAGTGTTTCTTATTGTGCTTCTGGAGTCAATTCCTACCTCAATATCCATTCCTTATAGCGATTTGAGAATTCCAGACACCAAGCCACCATCCGACTGGGCCGCTGACCAAGCAGAGAACAGCGAGTATTTTTCCTTCATATATTCAGTTATACAAAATCCTCGGAATAGCTATTGAGTCAAATTCAATTAGCTATTCTGAAGGGGTCTAACCAACCCCCATCCGTAACAAAATAAATGCACTTCATTACTAATTTTTATACCTGTCTCGACCTATGTACTCTCTGAGTTATTTCTATAAACCGGTAAAAGAATGTCATCATGCCCGAGTTGCCTGTAACTCATAACACTTTGTTGCTTATCTATTATTTATATTGAGTATTTCATGCACCTAGATGATTACTCGTCGAGCGCTCGACGTTGAATGTGCTATTGGTTTATAAATCAAGAGAAGATTGTTAAAAACGGGATGAAAAAACGCATGTTACCACTTACCCCTGCTACAATAAGCGTCTTACTTTCCAGTATGCGAGTATAGTCCAGTCATTTAAGCTTAAATTAGGTAAGCATCTCGGAATTCGAGATACCAAGCTGTAAGTCTGTAAATACTTGTTTATTGACACTAAAAAGTTGTCTCACAGCCTACATATGATATGTACGCCCTACCATATGTAGGTTTTGAGAAAACTTTTTAGTGTCAATATGCAAGTATTTAGAGACTTATAGCTGGGTGTCTCGAATCCCGAGGTGAACTCACTGTAAACAGTGTAAAGACTGGACTAAAACATGTGAATAATAAAACGATAATATTTGTTGAATAAATTAACTCTGAATAATATTTTGATATTTTCTAGTTTCGTCTTGCCAGAACATCATGACGGCAGAACAGTACCACCTTTATTAGATGACAATATGCCAAATTTGACAGATGGCGACAAAAAGGATAAAATGTTCAGCCACAGTTCAAAATCACTTTATTCAGACAAGCACTCGCATGGGTTGCCTATAGATCGGACTGCAACACAAGGCGAAAATCGACTAACAATAGAATTTGATGAATACATACCATCATTTTGCCACGTAGTCAAAAACAATTCCGTGTCCATCAGATCACTAGCGTCTATAGGCATGGGATCTACTGATGGAAGAAAAATGGTTATACGTCGTATGCCGGCTACTCATGATGAATTACTGAGCATTGTGAAACCATCTATGTAAGTAAGTTTTAGTGTAATGACATCTTACGCCCTAGCCAGATTTTACATTTAAGCTCTCTATTCACAACGGCAGTATCCTTAACATAATTTATGTCTATAACCGGTACCTAGTTACGTCGGAAACTGATTTCTCAACAACTTCTGTCCTCGAAAATTCCTGCCGAATTGTACGAGTAGAGTATGTCCTATTCGGCGATAGATGAACTGTTTAGTGACCCATACTTTCAGTGTCAAATGCAAAAGCTGTATTTTGTCATAAATATCAATGTGTACTTGATTCATGTACTTTGCAAGCGTTCAGTTTTTATTTTGTAAATAGCTATTGTGTAAATATCGCAATGTGAAAAAATGATTAGTTTTTGGGAAACGCAGTTCAGTAATTTTAAAATATTCAAATTTACGAAAAATTCAAGTATGTTTTTTCAAATTTTTGTAATTTTATCTGAAATATAGAAAAATTTGAAAATTTTTAAAAAATCAAATCGTTTTATTTCAAAAGTTTTGAAATATTTTTTTAAAAAAAAAGATAACATTATTCAATTTATAACAATATTCATTATCCGACAAAGATACTGATTTTAAAAATCAATAATTGTTATGTTAAACTGCAGCACTTTATTATGTTTTTATTATTATTATTTCATTAAATTCTTAGAAAAATTAGATTAAATCATTTTATGGATTCATTCTAATATGATACGATACATTACATTACATGCAATGCTTTGTTTTTATACTTAAAATTATTAGTGCATTTTAGGCCAATAAAATATGAATTGTAAAATTCACAGTATATATTCATAATAATCTATTTAAAAATGCAGGAAATCATTATTAATCATGAAATAAGTGAAAATCCAGCACAAAATTCTTGCCCACCATACTAGAAAACTTGACATAAATCCTTATTTAATAATATGTTTATTTTTTACATTTCATACAATGCTATGTTTGTATATTTATAAGCTTTAGTTTATTTTAGGCCAATGAAATATGAATTGCAAAATTCACAGTATATATTCATAATAATATATTTGAAAATGCACAAAATTATTATTAATCATAAACTAAGTGAAAATCTGACGCAAAATTCTTGATCACCTTACTAGAAAACTTAACAGAAATCTTAATACAAGAATTACTTGTATGCACCGGGCTTTATTAATGTATATTCTATCTCATGTTCAATTATCCCTAATAAGTTTTTCCTTACAGCTGCGTTCCAAATATTTCATTTTGTCAATTTGACAATATAAACTGTTGAAACTTGATAAACTAGAGTTCTTATATGCTCGCGTCATAAATAATTATTCAACAGTTTTTTGTGGTAGCGTTTTTCAAATATGAAAATATTTTCTTCTGATTTAGCAATCAAATGTTTAACTTCATGTAGGGTAAGATATAGTAATCGCAAAAAAACAAAAATGAATTTTTTTGCATATTGTTACGTTACAAAGGTTTCTGAACATTTAGGCATACCTCAGCAAAAATTAATTTATGTGTGCATCTATGTTTGGATACAATTTTTCGTCCACGATCTCAGGCGCCCGGATCTAGCGGTTTTGGATATACAGATAATAAATTAAAAAGAAAGATATTTTGCTGTCCCAAATGATCATTAGACATATGTTCATGAAATTATCCGATATTTTATAAATATTTAAAAAATGAGTATTAATTTTGTTACATTTTTTTTGTGGTCCTGTCCCAAGATTTTTAGTTTTTAAAGTTCACTTGTACGGTTCAATCAAATATCAAAAAATTCATATTTTTTTTCAAAATTTTAAAAATCTACAAAGTTTTATACTTTAAATTTACAATTTATTTGAAAAATTTATATAATTCCTATTCTAATTGTATAGTACCGACTTCTCATAGGATAAGTTATAGTAATCGCAAAAAAATCGAAAATGAAAATTTTTGCATAGCTTTACGTATCAAAGGTGTATAAACTTTTTGACATATCTTTGAAACAATAACGTATGTGTGTGTGTATGCTGATACAAGGTATGGCCAACAATTTTGAGAATATTGAAGAACCGATTTAAATTATTCCTTTCTTCAAACATTCGATTGGTTTATGAAATGGCAGGTTACATTTACAAGTCAAAATGTGCAAAAAATGACAATTCAGTTTGTGAGAGAACGAAGCAATCTATTCGAATGATTCCAGAAACATACTTCTTGTATTGTCGGAATAGACAAAATTTTGGGAAAGACAGGTCCAGAGGTTTTCAAGATAAAGAAACAAAAGTAAAAAAAAATGCTATTTGGTGGTATAAAATGATCGCTGTTCGTGTCATCAATCAGATCGTGACCGAAATGGACGCATGCATATCAAAGCATATCAAAGTATCATATATATATATATATATATATATATATATATATATATATATATATATATATATATATATATATATATTAATTTGGAAATATGAACAAACAACACTCTTTTTGCACTAATTTATTAAATAATAATTTTCACAAACGTTTCGAGACTAGGTTTGTCTCATCATCAGTGTGTTATAATTAAAAAAATTTTTAAAATATGGAAATCTAAATTAGTATGTTGTGTTTTTCATTACACGTCGTTCACTGCACGTTGTTCTTTTAATACCACTGTCTTCGGTATTCGTATTCTCTCCTACTTGAAAACCACTTGAAATTGTAAAGCCACTCAATCAGATAGGAAAAAAAGGTAACACAGTAAATTTACGGACAGATACCAATATATTACATGATACATACCTGAATCTCATTCATACTTTGTAGCTTATATATAGATGTACATACACTTTTAATTATAACAATGTATAACAAATCTTATAAACAAACCATCTCATCATAGAATATTTTTTCTCCTAACGACATCTATTTTTCAACTGGACCCTAATCCTTTTTTTCCTATCTGATTGAGTGACTTTACAATTTCAAGTGGTTTTCAAGTAGGAGAGAATACGAATACCGAAGACAGTGGTATTAAAAGAACAACGTGCAGTGAACGACGTGTAATGAAAAACACAACATGCTAATTTAGACTTCCATATTTTAAAAAATTTTTTAATTATAACACACTGATGATGAGACAAACCTAGTCTCGAAACGTTTGTGAAAATTATTATTTAATAAATTAGTGCAAAAAGAGTGTTGTTTGTTCATATTTCCAAATTAATATCTATTATCCACTCAGAATACATTTGTAATATATATATATATATATATATATATATATATATATATATATATATATATATATATATATACTAGCTGACCGGCAAACGTTGTTTTGCTAAGTAAGTTATTTCTAAATAAAATATACTATATAAATATATAAAGAATACTTGTCTAGACTGAAAGTCTACTTGTATAATAATAAATTATATAATTCATAATAACAATATTCGTTTGTCCATACTTTGTTAATGCAATCAAACTGGAAGTTTTATACACTTTCTATAAAAATATGGTATAATTCAATCCAAGTCTTTTTTAGTTTATTGCCATCAATGTTCAATGGTCAATGTTCAGTTGGTCATTTTTGCCCCACACAGATGTGAGTTTTTAAAGTGGTAATATAAAAAAACTGTTGAATCTCATTCAAAATTAACATTACATTTCATAAAACAATTAAATGGCGTATTGTTAAAATTTATATTAGAGTCTCGTAAACTAAATCACCTAAAAAACTAACAACAAAAGGAAATACTTTCGTTATGGATTTTCAAAGATTAATGTTTATCTCCCAATAGCAAAGTCATAAGAATCAAGGTTGTAGCTGGTTATACATCTTGTACTTTCAAATATTGTTGTTGAACAATGCTAAACTTTACTGGTTTTTTGAGATATTGGTGGTGGATCTTATTAACCCCGCGGATCTTCATATATTACTATCCATTTTTCAATAAATTCATAGACAATTTTCCAGTTTATTCAAAAATAGTACTTCAAAATTAGTGAAAAATAACCATCAGTGTATTATATTTTACATTGCATTATCCAATGATTGTTGAAGTTCTTCATCTTTTTCAATTTGTAGAGTGATTTAATAAAACATGAACGGTACCTGACTGTGTCTAAAATGCACAAATTCTGACATATCGTTTGAGAAGAATTCCTTCAAAATTGTAGGATATCAGTGAATCATTTTTCTGCTATACTTGTTCTAGTACCCGAACTAATGATACATTTAATTGAATGCGAGCATTATAATCATTTTTCAAAATATTTTATTCCAGAGAACATGTAATTTTGTGCAATGACATTTTTACAGGTGTGTGGTGTGTGTTCCAAAGTTATATTATCAGCCGAATCTTCTTATTTAAGTAGTGGTCTGGTATATCTGCGAGTAAGTTAGGTTTTTAGGTTTTTAATTCAAATAATCTAAATAAAATAATGATATAATCTAGAAAATGTTTTATAAATACTAAAGAATATAAAATTATGCAACTAAGACTGGGCCCAATCCGTACAGTCATTTTAAAGTTTTACCCCGGACTGTTATATAGCTATATAAAATAGACATTTCTTCTTTATTAAAGAAAAAATTGTATTGTAAATAGATTGTACTGTATATATTCAAAATGATTACTTCCATATCTATTTAAACTGTACTTATGTGGATGTCACAAAACATAATGTGAGCTTTATAAGCAATTTTCAAACAACTTTGTTTCCGAAGATCTTGTACTTGTATGTACACTTAATTGATATTTTTATGAATATGATTTCTAAAATTACTATCTGTGTTATAATCCAATTTTCTTATTCATATCGCTGTCTATTATAACTTGCAATAAGTGATTAGACCGAAATGTCTATGGTGTCGCCTTCGATGAATTCCAAATTTAGGATCTCCATTTGAATAACCTAAATGCAATAATAATATAATTCAGAAAATGTTTTGGGAACACATTATTCACATTAAACCAATAAGTACTTGCACAGCACAGCGTTGGAAACAAAATCATTTATTTATTCTTTTATAAGCAAGCCTT